TTGTAAGAAGGAAAATACAGGTAGTCCTCAACTTACAAGCGCTTTTATGACCATTCAAAGTTACAATGGCGCTGCAAAAAGTGACATTACCATGTGGTCACCTTTTGTGATCTTCTCACAAGCAAAGTCAGTGGGTAAGCCAGATTCACTTAACAACTGTGTCACTTAAGAAGTGTGGCAAGAAAGGTTGGAAAGTGATAAAACTCACTTAACTGTCTTGCTTAGCAGTCAACATTTTGGGCTCAATTGTGGTTGTAAGTCGAGGACCATGTTAAACAGAAACAAACTTTGGGGAATATATATTTTGCTTAACAGTCAGAAATGGACCATTGACTTACCTGAAGGGTCGTTTTCAGGGCGCTGCGAAGGAGAGTCCAAGCAAGGGTTAAATTCAGCCAAACTGCCCAGAACTGAATTGAAACTTTAAGCCACGTTCTGGTGCTGATTATCTTCAGATTTTTTCAATGAAGACGTGGAACTGTTGCGCGCTGAGAAGTCCAACCATGAATCCAAATATTCTCAAAAAAATAACAAGTCCAAGAAAACTGTCAACTTAGAACTGAGAACAGCAGAGCCAGACCCCCAGGGTGGGGTGGACTCTCCTTCGCAGCGCCCTGAAAACAACCCTTCAGGTAAATCAATGGTCCTTTTCCAGGGTGCTGCTCAGGAGAGTCCAAGCAAGGGACATGCCCAAGCTAAATGTCACTAGGGCGGGAAGCTGCAGCAGTCAGGGTCTCTCCGCTGGTATGAATGCCCTGAAGCACACACGTCCCAAAAGCCCCTTCCACTGAAGCAAACTTGTCCAACTTGTAGTTTCCTACAAATGGAGACAATGAAGTCCAGGTGGCCACCCTGCAAATTTCCTCAATCGGAGCCCTGGTCGCCCAGGCCGCCGTGATGGCAGCGCTCCTTGTAGAATGAGCCATGCTACGACTAGGCACCGGTTTAGACTGCAGGACATGAGCAAGGGCTATGCAGGCTCTAAGCCACCCACCAATTGTAGAAGATGATACCTTCCTTCCCAGGGAAGATGGTTGGAAGGAGGCAAAAAGTGATTTAGAATGACGAAAACTGGCTGTACGCTTGATATATCTGCGAATTGCCCTGCGGACATCCAGCTTGTGCAATTGTTTTTCCCTGGGATGTCTGGGATGCGGGCAGAAATCAGGGAGAATAATCTCCTGGGCCCAGTAAAACAAGGAGTTAACTTTAGGAATGAATGATGGGTCCAGGCGAAAAATCACTCTGTCCTGCTGAACCAAGCACAAGTCCTCGCAGACCGATAGAGCAGCCAGTTCAGAAATACACCTAGCAAAAGTGATGGCAATCAGAAAGGTGGTCTTAAACATAAAATGTTTCATGCTAATAGTTTGGATAGGCTCAAACGGAGGTTCAGTGAGAGCACGCAAGACAACAGCAAGGTCCCAAGTCGGATATCTGTGGACCGTCGGAGGACTCAAGTTGGTAGTCCCCCTGATGAAACTGCGGATGGTAGGATGACGACCAAGAGAAGTCTGCCTGTCAGGAGCCACAATGGTGGAAAGGGCCGCTACCTGATGGCGAAGAGTGTTGGGAGCTAGACCCTTGTCAAGGCCATCTTGCAGGAAGTCCAGGATGACAGGAACCGAGGCCGATGAGGCTGACAGGCCGCGCGAAGAACACCAGCCAACGAAGGCTTTCCAGGTAGCGTCGTATATTCGGGTTGTGGACGGATGCCAAGACGCTTGGATGGTGCAGATCACCCTGGTCGAAAGGCTGCCCTGCTCAGGAGATCCCTCTCAAGTGCCAGATGGCTAGTTGAAGCCACTGGGGTTCCGGATGTTGAAGGCTCCCCTGGCTTAGAGAGATCTTCTACGGGGGAATCCGCCAAGGGGGTTCGACGGAGAGATTCACCAGGTCCGCGAAGCAGGTTCTCCTGGGCCAAAACAGTGCCACCAGCAGGACCTCTGCTGCCTCTGCCAGAATCTTCCTGATGACCCTGGGAAGAAGGGGTATCGTTGGGAATGCGTAGAGCAGGCCCCTCGGCCAAGGGAAATGTAGATCATTGATGCCTTCCACGCGTGGGTCATGGAAACTTGTGAAGAATCTGGGGAGATGAGAGTTGGCCGCGGTGGCAAACAGGTCCACCTGCGGGCAGCCGAACCTTTGGGACAATCGCTGGAACAGAAGAGGATGCTGGCGCCACTCGGAGTGGTTGATCGCCCTGCTCAACCAGTCCGCCTGGGTGTTGGTTGTGCCAGAAATGTGCTTCGCTTGGACAGAGAGGAGGTGCCTCTCCGCCCACCCACCCAGTAAGCTGCCTCCAACATCAACGATCTGGAGCGTGTGCCTCCCTGGCAGTTGATATGTGCCTTCGTCACAACGTTGTCCATCAATACTCTTATGTGATGACCCCAGATGTTGATCTGGAAGTGAAGCAGGGCCAGCCTGACTGCCCTCAGCACCAGCCAATTGATGCTGTGAGTGGCCTCTGTTGAGGACCACCTGCCCTGAGCCAGCTGGTTCTGGAAATGGGCCCCCCAGCCAAACAGGCTGGCATCCGTTGTGATGGTGATACGTGTCGGCTCCTTCAACAGGGAGCCCTTCGACAGAACTGGAGACATCCACCACTTGAGTGACTGACGCATCTCTGCAGAGACCGGGACAAGCCTTGTCGAGCTGCTCTCGTTGGCCCTCTGGTAAGGGAGCAGGAGCCATTGAAGCGGTCGGGAATGGAGCCTCGCCCAAGGGACGATGGACACGCACGAAATCATCTTGCCGAGGAGTTGTGAAAGCTGTACGACCTTGGCCTGTGAAGCATCTGCACCTGTGCGACCTTCTTCCTGAGGCTTGCCATACGTTCCAGCGACAGGAAGACCTGGCAAGCAATGGTGTTGATGACTGCACCCAGATGTTGTAGCCTGGTTGTCGGCTGCAAATGACTCTTATCCATGTTTATGGAGAAGCCGTGAGCTTGAAGCACCTGGATGGTGTGTTCCAGGTCCAGAAGCGCCTGTTGGGCCGATGACTATTGAATGAGGACATCGTCTAGGTAGCAGTGCAGTCGAACTGGACGGGATCTGAGGAAGGCTGCCACAGCCGTGAGTATCTTTGTAAATGTCCTTAGTGCTGAGGAGAAGCCGAACGGCAGAGCCCGATACTGTAATGGTGGCTGGCGTAAGCAAACCTGAAGTAACGACGGTGGGCTTTGCAAATAGGAACATGGAGGTAGGCCTCTTTGAGATCTATGGAAGTCAAGATGTCTCCCGGCCTGATGCATCCCAGAATGGACTGCAGGGACTGCATCTTGAACCTCCAGTAAGTGATGTGATAATTTAGCCTTTTTAG